TGTTTCTGTTATTTTTTTTTGTTACTCGATCTGATTTTCCCTGGAAGATTTGCGTTAGCTATGGTTTTCTTTGAGAATTTGTGAAGGATGTGGACTGGTAAAGTAGATGTATGCTTTTGATTTCTAAGCCTTGAAAGTCTTGAATCCTTGATTGTAGGGCAATTTGTCGAACAATTTCAATTTAAATCTCTTCGAAGATGCTACATCCCTGTGACTTTCTTGTTTCTTCTCTTTCCTGAAATTTACAAATTGACCTTATATTCAGTAAAATGACATCTCCATTATTTCAAGATTAAACGTCAATATTTGCAATCGTCGATATAATTGGCAATCGTCTTCATAACAATTCGTCAATACAATTAACTACATCACCAATATGCATTGTTGATGATTAATCAGACGGCTAGTTTTCGAAACAAGCAAACGATCTTGAACTGAGAACCCGTCACCAGTACACTTGCACGTCTTCCACGTGCAGCCAAACCAAAATTTCATATATACGGGGCAAGGTGCGATCTTGATTTCAAAACAGAGAAGAATTTTCTCACAAATAAAACTTCAAATGAAGGTTTAAATAAACAAGTTTTTTAAATAAAATAGATAATTACTTCCTGTGAAGGTCAACCAAATGCATTTATGCCTTCCTGTCACACGACAATGCAGCAGGAATAATAAAAATGGCATGTAACTTGAATTACTATTACCGACCATTTGTCAAGCTCAGACGGTACAGCTGGTTAACATTAAGTTACATTTTCCTTTTTACGATCTAATGCACAACAAATAAATACCTTCTCTGAGTTTGTGCTTTTCTGTCTGATCGGAGTACTGGCTTAGAGTAATTGTTTTAGCACTACAGTAGTTTGCAGGAATCACAAGACTACAAGAAGAAGCGTTTCTAAATCTGTAACCACTTACGAGAGAGCTTATGATTTTTGTTGTGATTGGCGAATGAAAAAGGATGTTTGAGGCATTCTAGTAGCATACTATTTTTAATATATTCTATGAAAATAATTGTAAATATAAATTTTGTTTACATTTATTCCCCAAAATTATGTTTTGTATCAACTTCATTTTTATCTCACAATTTATAAGCACTGATTAAATCTTAACTCGAAAGTTTGCTAAAATATTTTTAATGGACTCTCGAACATTTTAATGACCGTTGCTATGAACGCGCTCATAAAGCGTTGTTTAGATGGTTGGTTGCTAAGGGTGTAAAAATTTGAAAAGGATTCAGCGTAGGGCAGCTAAATTTACTTTCAGGGTGAAGAAAATGGCAGGATGGGATCCACTCGAAAACAGGCGGTGAGTAGCAAGACTCTGTGCTTTGTGTAAAGCTTATAGTGGTAATGCAGCGTGAAAAGAAATTAATCGGCGGTTAAGCATTCCTACATGCATCAGGCACAAAATAAATTTAAGACCGCAAGAGACGGATGTTGGTAAATTTTCTTTCACAAATCGAACGATAAAGGAATGGAATAGATTGTCCGCAAAAACCTTTGAACCCTTTCTTCGTAGTGTTCAACAGTTTAGAAAATTAATTTAGAGTATTAATATATAAATGTGGAACTTAACTGAGAATAGTAGGTTATAGAGCGATGCGTAAGTAACATATTGTGAAGTGAGGTGTCGTGCAGTGTAGAACAGAGAAATAATGAAGGAAGTGATTAAAGAGTCGCAGTGAAGTGAAATGAAGTGCAGTGTGTCTTAATTGAACAAAAATTCAGTGCGAAGTTAGATTATAGATGTTTTCTTATTTAAGGTATTTAATGTTTTATGAATTAGATGTATGTAAATTTAATGTTTTATGAATTAGACAGTTTTTATATCATGACTATTTTTATTATTAATGTTATTTTTATAATTAATGTTATTTTTATTATTATTATCGTTGTTTTATCTGCTGTTTTTATTGTATCTATGATTATTATTGTACTATAATAATAATAATAATAATAATAATAATAATAATAATATGTCATTTGCATGTTAGCTGTATTATCTTATTTATGTAATTAGCTGCCACCGGGTTATGCTTACTTGCAGTTCAAATAAATTTATCTTTGTCTTTTCCTATTTATCTATACAGATATATTGAGGAATATCCATTCCGGCAAAATTCCTATGAATAGCTAAGGTGCTATTGTTCTATACGGCCGTTAAAAAAAATTAAAAAATCTCAAGTCAATTTTCCGGAGCATTACATAACCTCTACTACATATACGTGCGTATACAAGGAACTAAAAACCGGTTTTTTGGTATTAAGCAATTACAAAACGTATATTCTAATTACATTACGTATTACAGAATGTAATTTACTGAATTTATGGGCAAAAAATCAACTTCTACAGTATGAGTGGAGACATAGAACTAGTTTTTGTCAAAAAAAAATTATTACTTCATATAAACGACAGTATACAAGCAAGTAGAAATAAATTATATAATGAAAACGAAATGTTTAAAATGTTTATTCATATTTTATGCTTAAGGATGTAGGCAGTAAGATTGAATTGTTAAATTCAATGAATTCTATGGCAATAATTCACACTTTTTTGTCATCTTTTTTAGTATTTTGCTTTAGTAATTTGCTTTAGTAAAGTACCCGTGATGATTATGCTCTTTTCAAAAATAAGGAAGCCGTATCTGCGAGTACGCAAAATAAGAGTAGAAAAAATGTACACTGCGATAATTTAGAAAGCAATGTCTGAGTTGGTTAAGTTTTCATAAAAAAAAATATGTGCGAGTACAGTTCAGTTTTTTCGTGCATAGCAAAGGACATAGTTTTACTTAAATAAAAATAATGAAGATCAAAATATTGTCGTTTTATTGTTCATTTTTGTGACAGAGAACTTATCAATTTTTTTACACATCAGACGTTTCGTACTCAAAGAACCATTTGAAATATTTTGCACCGAATTAAGCCAAATAAGCGTCATAAGCGAAAATTTGTCTTCCACATACTAAGTTTGTCCCAGATACAGTGTCACACACTGGTCTTCATGTTTTTTGTGTTAATTCAACCTTCGGCCACCGTTCAAATGTTTAGAGGGAGAGGAATAAATGGTTGAAGTATCTGCCGAGAGAATGCACCGGGACCGAAAATTAAGGAAGAACAATTCTTGCTGGTCCCGTTGGTATAATAACTCCAATTATTGGTCACAGCCTTAGCGATTTGAAAGACGTGAATGCGCATGTGAGATTATGAGGATGTCAGGCTGCTCTTTAAAGCGATCACGCAGCCGAGTCTGTGAGGAAGACGAGACCTATTATCAAATTAAAGCCAAATAAGCGGCTTGTGTTGGAGCTGGATGCTTATATTCGCTCCCATTGTTCTCTAGTATATGAAATGAATCGCTTATAGAATGCCTTTAGTACCCACACAAATAAAACTAATAACTTAAATGTGAGTAGCAATTCTCAGCGTTATTGGGAATTGATATCCAGCAGTTACTTAAGTGAAAAGTAGTATATTATCACCAGGACTCGTATTCTGATATCCTAAAAATTCTTTGAAAATACCCTCCTAATTGACTTAGAAAAGAGGAAAATGACCTACATAATTACTTAAAAATAAGGGAAAAGTGATCTAATATTTTAAAGAAGAGTAAACAATTGTATGAAAGTATTAAATCAACGAATTTTACAATTTTAAATAAAATATATTTATATACAATTATATTAATACAAGATCTTTATTTTAGGAGGAAATGTAATTTTGAGCTCCGAACTTCCAACCGTCAGTTTTTAAAGGTCGAGAAAGCTACCGAAACTCCGTGCAAATGAAAATCAAGAGTCCACTGTAGCAGTGAATTTCGTCATAAAGTGATGATACAATAAAACCTTTTTTCAGTGTGCCATTGTAAATTCATAAAACATTCACTAAAAAACAACAAAAAACAAATTGCGTAAAAACATCTAAAAAATTACGTAAAAATTGAAAAATAGCAAACAAAAAAAAAGACCCAATAACTATACATTTCTTGCGTGAAAAAATATCATAATTAACATTAATTTACGAGTTAGCTACATCTAAAATTCACCAATGAAAAAGTGAAATGTCATGAGAACACGAGTCCTGATTATCATGTTTACAAAATCAATTTACGAAATATCCAAATTTACATCAAGCGAGGTGTCAAATCACACGAATGGTATTTCAAGACTTTTTCAGTTGATAGAAATGAAGTTTATGCAGATTAAAGAACGACATTTCAGAGGAAGAATCAGTCATCATCATGACCTTGTTTTGGGAAATGTATTAATACTACAATATTACACGCTAAAAAACTAACACTCCAGAAGAAATTCAACAACATTTGAAATACTTGAATGCCTATCAGCGTTGGCTAAAATGTTGTCCCCAGAAGAAAATTAAGTATATCTTGATGATCACAATTGAAATATGGCAATAAAATCTTTTGTCCATTATAGGTAAATAACTCACTGAAAATGACATTATTGTCGGTGCTTGGAGTAATTTGTATTGAGTAAAATTGGATTGAACGATTTACGTGAAAATTATCAGGAATCACACATTTCAAAAGAAACAACGTGATTTCATAGTATGACAAATAACTAAAAATATTCCCTTATACACACAAAAACCGGCATGAGTTTACGAACAAATTTATTTATTGAATGACGAGGGAGAAAACTAAATCAACTAAAGAAGGTAAATCAACGGAAAGGGTGCAAATGTTCATTTTCTTAGTTTCCTCCTTTTATAACGACGTAATCTGTGATTTATTGTATTCACTCATTGTCCATTCATTGTTTCGTAAACCCACAGTCCTGCAGAGAAGCACTGCATAATGCACAGTACTCATGGGTATATTATCTCAAGTGCAAGAACACAGGCCACAAATATTCGAGTTTAACGTCCATCACAGCTTTATTGCACATCCGCGTGTTTACGCAATTAAAATGCACCACGAGGAAATTTTTTACCTTAAGTTTTTTGACATATTTTATAAGTACTGATACGTTAACTTTTAAGCGCCTAGGGTCGACGTCAAAGTGACGTCACGTTCTCGCGCGATACGCTCGCAGTTGGAATCAGTTGCGGCGGCCGCAGCACGTTCTGAAGTCATTACTCTCTGAACGGTCCCAGGATCCGGATCACACTACTATACAGTGGCGGTGTGTAGTGTATTAGCTTATTCTGTCACTCTCGTACCTACAAGTCTCAATATTCGAAGATGGTGAACATCAAAGAAGTCTCAAAGAAACCAATTTTTCTCATCAAAGTTGTGGAGCTGGTAAGTTTGACGGGTTATTTTTGGAATCGTAGGTGGTGATGATGATACTTCGAATACGTTATGTTAGATTATTTGCATGACAAAGGAGAATGTGAAACATTTTAACGGTTTTTATTATCTGGAAATCTTTTAGAAGTCTACCTTCAACAGTATACTTTAAAATCTGCAATAAACTTCGAATTTTATTCTTGTACGATAGACATGTGATCAAGTGGAGTCCCCTGATTGTCGTATTTCTCATCATCAAGTCATATTTTATTGTAAAAGGAGAAGCCAACAATAACAATTATCCCTGGACATAACGGCAGTTCATTAAAAGTTTAAAAGTATGATCGTGAAAGGGAGAGAGCGGTCAGAGAGATACATTGGGAACGCAAAGAAATTGTGAAACAATAATTATTTTTGTACTTATTAGCAATCATTAACATTTTTATAAATGCATTGAATGCAATTACATTCACACAACCCTTTATTTTATTTCTACAAATGCACTGGCGAATTGGAGGAAAATAAATGGGTGGATTCATGCGCCGTGACACAATATTTTCACCCTAATTTGCAGCACAAAGTACACTGAGAGAAACATACAGATAATTAAGTTTACCAACATTTCTGAAATGTCCAATTATTAAAATAATATACCGTGAATATTTCAGGTTTAATGTATCTGGTTAAATGGACACAATGAGGGAAGAATTAGTTTACCAAGGAGTGAACAATGAATTCATTTTTTCGTAAATAGTAGAAAGGTTGGAGTTCAAGTATTATGTCAGTACATAAAATGTACTAATCAATGCATAGTGAGAAATGTTTAAGACACATTCAAAATAACGACTATTATGCGCACCTCTGCCATCCTCAAAAACATATTTCATTATCAATTACTATGTTTCTTGAACACCAATGACAGTGCTTTGCAGTGTATTGTGATAATCTCAAGATTCATTACTATAGGAAGTAATGTCATATCATTAGCTATGTACCTGAAGCATTGTCTCACGGTTATTATATTTAGAATAATGTTTGATTTCTTCAAGTCCCACTTGATTAACATGAAATATTATTGTGAAGCGCTATGTCCTCAGATTGTTAGTGCAAAAATTAAATAAATACTACATGTGAAAACTACTTTACTAGTTTTTAGATCATAGTCCTTTGCATATTGCATTCTAATGTTTAATTTGTTCGTATGTTTCGTTTGTCAATAGATACCAACGTCGCAGGAAAAAAATTTTCGATTCAATAAATGAAATTTCCAAAGTGTTTGAGGAGGGGTAAATCGGGAATACATTTTCTTTACTTTTATAAACACTACAAAAATTGTTGTTATATTGTGAAGTTCTACAGCCAAGAGAAGATCCTTAGCTTGTATGGGGTCAAAAAAATCATCAACAATGGCATGTTTATTAATTTAGAGCTATAAAAGAGAGCGTCCCCTATTTACCTGCACTTCCTGATTTATTTGACTTTCCCCTTCTTTAAATGACTACGTTTCTGGACTAAGTTTCTTTCTTTCTTCTTTCTTCTCTTCTCTTTCTACGTTAAATGACTTTCGTTTGCTGGACATTGCTTTGCCAACAGAACATCTCCGAAAAGTCTGCTGGTCGTAAATTTAAATAACTAAAATTTACTCCAAAATAATTATTATCGAACATATATTATTGATTTTTTTATTTCTACGACTTCAAACAATATTATTTATGTGCTGAGGCTGCTGACAGTGATGTGGTTAAATTGTCACGCTAGTTTTGTTTTAACTAAGAAACGGGACGATAATATATTTATACTACTCAGAATGTAGTCTATTAATAAGTTAGTCAGTATGTTAAATAAGCTGTATTTAATCAATTTTTGATATATTCACTAATAAACACTGGAAACGGAAAAAATCTGCGAAGGGGACAAATAAAAAGCTAACCCAAAATAATTATTAGTTAAGTTCTCATTACACCTGGCCTTCAAGAATTTTGGTAAATTCACCTAGGTGTTTCCCTTCTTAACAGTACACGTCTATTTCAAGAATGGTGTTATAAATCTTGTTTGAAAAACAAAGTAAACATGTCGCTACAAACTTTATTCTTAATACTCGACAACACGAAACCTACACGACTCAAAGGCGAGCGCAGTGCATGGGGAGGGCGGAAATGTCCAGAGTGTGCGTGTAAGCGAGCCGCGTGCGTGTGTGTGCAGGTGCTGACGTGCGTGTGCATCCGATGCGTGGGCGGCCAGTACGCCGCGCTGCTGCGGCGCGAGCGACCAGAGGACGACGACAACGACTACAAGGGCGTCTTCCCGCTCATGACGGCCATGTGGGTGCAGCTCGTGGTCTACTCCATTCTGCTCGTCTTCCTCCTCGTCGTCATCATTTGCCTGCTCACCGACAGGCCTATGCACTACAAAATTGTAAGCTATGATCTCCCTTCCTTGCGTTTTAATTCACGTCTCTCTTTATTTATTACAGACATTTTGATGTCAAAACTTTGGCAGAAACACACGTTTTTCAGGTCTGCTATGATACACACAATTCGTTAATCCGTTCGTTCGTCAATGATCAACGCTACAGCCATGATTTATTTAGATTTAGATTTATTTCGTCAAAAAATAGTGAAACCTGCATGTGACGTATGGGGGAGAAGATAATTTGCGCACGTGGGTAATCTCGCGCTGTTGATTTCCAGAATCATTTCCCATCATTTTAACTATAAACAATTGAAAGATGTGTAAAAGAGATAAATAAATAAATAAAAATAAAATTTTAAAAAAGCACGCGATTAGTGACATTTGAAAAATTAGTATTTTTGTTTCCAAGTTATAGAAAACTTATTCACAACGGTAAACGAACTGCAAATTTTATTTTCTGTATTGCAAACAAAATAGTAACTTGCCCTTACCTCTACTTCTACCACTACAAGCAAAAGGAGAGTTCAACAAATCGTGCGCATAATGAAGCTATGTGTACTAAAATGTACAAATCGGAAATGTCTGAAGTTTAAAGTTTTTTGAATTCCCTCCTACAACCAGTCATTGAAGAGAAATTGTTTTCTTCAAATACATATTTAAATGTAGATCTTTAAATTGCAGAATATATTAAAATTGTTTTACGTTTCCGCATAATTTTGACGAAAATCGTTACACAAAATAACGTAAAATAAACATTTCCCCTGTAGATTTGGTTGTCTAAATCTATTAAAAAAAATTAAGGGCAAAATTAAGTTCGTCTTACATGAATACAAAAATGTTATTTAGAGAATAATCCTTCTCTTGTTCATGACTTCCATGTGCATTTCATCGCTGTATTCTAGCTTCATACCCAAGTGTATGTTTCATGTTTTCATTATTTTGTTTTCTAAAAAGTTCTCCTCCCAGATGCTTTCTGAACTCAATTGTTTTTGTTGGCAACTCGACGTGGGTTCGAATGATCAAATTCACAATTGAAAAAACATGAAACTTAAACAGCGTTTATGTGTAGTTTTTTTTTCGAGTAAGGTACTTCCAAAACTCAATCACTGCTATAAAAGTTTATTTTTTTAGAAGTGAGTTTCAGTCGCGTGAAACCAGTCCAGATAGCTTTCTTGCTAATGAAGTAAAACAAGAATGTGTGTGTTCAATTGTGGGTGTTTGAAAACATGAAAGTTTCCTTAAAGGAAATAATGATAAAGATATTTGAAAATAATTATAATTACGTATAATTAATTAACAATGTTGTAAACAGTCAAAAGCTTACGATTCTTTGGGCTTGCGATACCAATAACAAAACACTCTTTTGATGACCTTGTGTTCTACATGCGGAAAAACAATATTTTACATTGTTATAAATAATGCAGTTTCTGCAAGTGAGATACATTTATTCATTTAGTGTACTTTTATTGGTCAGGTGTGCAGAAGATCATGATTTAAGTAACAATCTAATAGCATTTTCATAGTTAAAGAATTTATAATACTTAAGTTTAATTTATTTTACACATAGTCTCTTATTTTTCTTATTTCAAACAGTTTTAATAAACCTGCGGATAAAATTATATCTCCTGAGCACACAAAAAATAATAATTCATGAATTAGTCGAGAAAAAAAGGAATTCTATTCCAAGCCCTGATTTTATTTTTGGAATGTATATGTTTTCTAATTACGACAGTGTCTGATATTTCCATGAATTTTTTTACACGATTCCTCGAAAACAAATCCTTCTGGACATCACATTTTGTGATATAATACTCATGTTATACGTATGGAGGAATAGATAAGCATAGTAACATCTTTGGACACATTAGGAGTCAGCTTTCAAAGACGATTCCTATTTCGAGATTATGTAATTCCTAATACATATTTAGGAATATTAAAAAATAATTCTTAAAATACTAGGAGTACAATAATAGTAACATCAGTTTTAGGGCCACTTTTACTTCGGGGTTCTTGTGGCGAATGGTCAACTGTGTGAAAAGGACATTTTATTGTTCGACAGTGGTACACTGCTGGCAACTTCCTTGAGATCACTGGTTTAGCGCAATCATCGGTTTAATATTTGCTTACATGTCCATGACAGTTGATTTGATTAATTATTTTGCATGCGCGTCAAATACAAAGTTCATTAGTCCCATAGTTGTAAGGTAGTATGCTATATCCTGGGAAGTGGTGGCGATCTATCTCAGCGAGGATATGAGATCCGTTGCGGTCCAAGAAGTCGATTTGTAGAGGATTTCCCTCCTCAAGGTTTTTCCGTCAACGGGGCACAGTCCCACCCGGGGCAAGCTCTAAACTCCCGATTGGTCTCTCAACATGTGTGGTACTGTAGTGCATGTAAGTGCAAATGTTAGTATACGTAAGGGGTGAGGAAGAGATAAAAATTATCAAGGAAGTGTGTTAGGGTATGGTCCAGCATTGGTCTGGCATTGATGGAAGAAACTAGGAAAAATCGCCGATCAGAACAGCTTCTACAATTATCTTCCAAATAGAGACTGAGTTCAACCAACCTATCTACCTAGAGTCCAAAATCCACTATGAGAGCACGAATTCTAAGACCTATAGAACACATACATTTCAATTTCAAACGTTGTTTGCCATGAGCTATTTCAGTCAGTGTCGATGTCGGAAAGAAGGGTGTCGCAAATGTAACTACCGCAAAATCTTTTGATAATATTACTTACATCATAAAGAAATAATATATAGAAACATTAATTATACACGAAATGACTCATTACATTACTACAGTAAATATTAGCATAAAAATATTTATTTTATCTTATGTTTCATCGACTTTTATCGATCGTCCTCTGGTGAAGAAGCATTCAAAATCACTGTTGGTGAGTAATGACAACTTTCTAGTGACAAAAAACCTATTACTTTATGTTTATTCTTCACTTCCTACCATTTGATATGTCCCAATAAATATTCAAACCTCATATCATCCTTAATATTCGGGGTCAGTTTGCTGAATCTAATTTTCCAGGTGATAAATTATCGCTTATTGTACAACAACATTCCAACGTACAGCAACGGGGCAATACAAGGTTAGGGAGCTTCTGGGTTAATTTTCTTAATTGATGGTCGTTATATACGTTTTCAGCAAATGCGTAAATCACGAATATTGTTTTCATCGTTTATTGCATGTTTGCTCACTTGCGACATAATCACGCTCCATTTTCACAAATAATTTCCTGTGTATTTCAGTGATCCACCACCATTTACTGATTTTGAATACTGTAACAAACATCCAACCTCATTTCGAGACGAATGTATATAATGGGATGGGAAAACGGTTCTTGAACTGTGCGTCGGCTCATGGCATCAACTGATATCACTGCAGTGCCTCTAACCGGGAGCTCCAAGGGTTGGTTTGAGTACCGATTGTTCGACACTAGTCATTGTCGAAAATCCACCCCCGGAACGTGAACCATAGGTCATCCCTGTCAAAGGTACTGCAGATATTTCAGTCGATGCTCTGAGCCACCTTTGCAGGGCGCCGGATTTCACCATCGAATATCATCGACATCATCGCAGATCATCGCCATCTCCCGTGACAAAATCCTGTACGGGACTAATGACCAGAGCCGTTGACGCGCCTTGTCGCAGGAAATAATCAACCAATTGAGCCGCTCACTTGCTTTACATTCTAAATGTAAGTTTTGTTCTCAGGTCATCACCCTGGCGGGCATCGCGACCGTCATCTTCGTAGCAGGTTCCGCCATCAACTTCGAAGTTTTCTTCATGCTCTTTGAGGCCAAGAAGAAAACACTGGTGGGGGCGGTGGCAGGCCTTCTAAATGGAGCGGTTTACGTGACGGACATTCTCTTAACCTACAGAGACGCAAAATAGCGCATCCTCGCATCCTCGAGTGCTTTGATTTTTTGTGGGACTGCCAAGCAAATCGCTATACCAACCATGTTTACAGTGACGTACATGGCAAATGAGATGTAATTGTTTGTTGCGTTATGTTTCGAACGTGTTTCCTGAAGAATCGACGAGTCTAGTGCCATATTCTAATTATTTATGCTTGTAAGCGAAGAGAACTCTTAAGCAGTGAAACTGTGAAGAGAACTATGTGATATTATAGATCTGAATTTCGTGGAGAACGATATCATTTAATGCGATTTGTAGACCATAAGACTGAACTAGTTTTGTAATATTAGATGTTTATATTGTATATTATATTTCATTTTAAAAATGATATTGTTTGGATACCGGGTTTGCATTTACTTTTTACAACCCGCATCTCCAACAGAATTTCATAGGAATTCCTTTCAAACCCTCATAGAAATTATAAGCAATACAAATTCCATAACAAATTTTTTTAAGACTACACAAACGCGTAATACTACATTTGATTTTCGTATCTCGTGTCAGTGCCATTATGAAAACAGCTATCGTTTGGAAAAAGACCAATAGAAAGAATAAACTCCATAAGAATACATTCTAATCACATATCGGCGAACTTTCGACCCTGATGAACATCCTGAACTCATCACGCGTCTCGTGGCATTGGCTTTAAGAGTGTGACCTCTTGATAAGCAAGAGTATCCTTGAAATAATATCAAAGAAATGAAACGCTCATAGAGGTCTCCAGTGATAACATGTGAAATATACTCTTTACTAATGAAACACTTTTCCTAACGTTACACTAAGAACACAAACAAATAAAGTTAACATTCAAATATTACTTCTTGAAATACATTTTTAATGCATATTAGTAATGTATAATACTTACAGATATGAACTTGTCTGTACGCTTCGCAGAAAAAAATATTAAAAGTACATACTATTTTTTTTATTATTAAGAGACCAGGTAGTGAGTACTTAAAAGATCCTGTAGCAGTAAAATATTTGTCCAAAAATGGTTTGTCTTCAAATTGTCAAAACATAAATATCGCATTTAAATTTTATTTTCTTGATTCGTCTCAATGCGAAGGGACGTTCCCGGTGCATTGTGGTATTTGTGAAGACTGTATTCGTTAAAATGTCTAGTTTATTGCAGAGCTACAGGAGAATATTTTATTTCTTGAGTAGTGTGCGTGCTTCATTTCGGAAAACCAGCTGTTTTGTTCAGCGGCATTTTTGCTGCTGAAGGGCACTACTTTCATTTATTTTTCAAGCAGACTGCATGAATGATACGTGAGATCAATTTGGTTCGAAGTTCACCTTCCCACTTTGCGTTCACTTCACACTCTCCTCGTTACTATGATAGCATATCTCTGATTTCAAGGAACAGTAATTTATGAATGACCATTGCGTCGAGAATGAATGCGTAAGTGAAAGAAACCACTATATTTATCATCTTACGTAGCCTTTATCACTGTGTGCCAAGACTTGTGTATTTCAAATCTAAAAACAGACTACGGTTCAATGTTATTATTTCTCAAATCCTAACAAATTTCTGAAATCTATTACAAAATAGTGTCTGCTATTGAAAATTCATAGTTTAATTACACTAGTGGTATTTCATGTAAACGAGCAATGTTAGTGGCAAGTTTTCTGATTTACCACGAATGCAATTATACACTTTTATTCACGAGTTACGTTCAATGTTTTTTCGTATACATTTAAGAAGAATAGATTTAAGAAGAATTTTGATTTTGAGGAAAAAATATATCATTACTATTTGGGGCATACTGTAATGAATCCATATTGTAATGCACAAAGCCTGATGAACGGGAAGCAAGTACTGGATAAGCAAGGCACATACTATCTAATATAGACGGATATAGAGAGCTTTGAATGGAAGTTATGGTATCCGACGTAGTAAGTTCGAAGTTTAAAATAAACAATGAGAACATGTCGAGATCTAGTAAATCAGATCGGAAAAAATGGTCTGAGCTCATTAATAAAGAGAGTATTAGAACTTATTAATATTCAATATAGACGATTGAGAATATTATTAGTGGTGGACATAAAGGGATTGGATTATCAAAGAAACAAATAACTAATTTAATTATGAACATGAACGGCACTGACGGAAAATTAAATCAAGTAAGATTTTACCGGACAAAACATTATGTTGAAGAAACTCAGGAGTGAACTAATTTTAAGAACTTTCGAGAATAGTATAGGTACTGGAAAAACTTAATGAGTTTTGTTTTTGGACACTTGAAGAAACTGAGTTAAAATGTTAATCGTATTCTTCCAGATATTTTTTTTTAGTATAATTGATTGTTGTATATATTCTAATTTTAATTAATTCCCTTTTGTTGTTCACGTTGAAGAATTCAGTTAATTTACTATTCAAGATGTTCTTAACTCGTGTATTTAATCATTATTTGTGTCATTTAAAAGTTTAATTAATTCATTTATGTCGTGTACAATCAAGAAATTCTTTATTTTAAGTTGCAATAATAGATTTCTGATTGGAAGACGTAGAAGACGTAAAATAGAGGAGTGCGTAGGCGTTTTTCTACAACTAGTACAATTATGAAAATTAAATTGTTTCGGCGTCTTCCCACAAATACAATTATGAAGATACATTTTTTTCCTTAATGAAATGTGTTCGTCAAAAAAAGATTTTCAAATAAGGTCGTGGTAACTTTTCCAAAATATGATTATTTTTGCAGTAAGTGGGTATTCAATTCAGTCGCCCGCTATGAAAAGCATGCGATCGTGATTGTACGAGTAATTTTGGAGGTGTTCAGAGGACCTGGATGCTACGTAAGTTTGAATTTGTATATTGTTTCATATTTCATTTTATTATTATTTATTAAATTGATTTTTTATTTCATTTTAAATTGCTTTTAACTCATTGTTTAAATGCCGCGCAGATAACACGATAATGACGTCTGCTTTTGGTTCGCGGAAATAAAAACTAATATTTTAAAAAATATGTAGAATATTACAATACTGTAGTGTTTAATAATTGCTATTATATATTTTTCGATCTATCTGTATTTGTTTGGGAACGCCATCAGTATCGTATTATGTATTAAATTTTAATTATTTACATTATTGCATACTGCTTATGAAGAATACTGTAGGGCTGAAATCTCATCTGTTATGATCGTGAATACCATCCATAACTAATTGAAAGAATTCAATGCCAGAAATATATTTTCATTTGAAGTATTGAATAAAAACACATTGCTTGAAACTATTTAATTTTCGCATTAAATGCTCCATGATTTCAATGAATTTAAAAAAAATGATGTCTGAGATGTATTCATTCGGAGAGAAATTATGGTGTAAATAATATTACATAACTAGTACTAGTGGCAAGAAAAAGCTGTTTTAGTACTCTAACCCAGATGAAGAAATTAAATACTCCTAAACGTTGGCACATAACTAAATGTTTCTTTACCCACAATGACCCATCCTGTGGACCAATTTTATTTTATTATTCATGAATGGTCGTGCTTCTACAATGAGTAAATTTTATTCATCACTAGTAACAAGCGCTGAACTTCAACACCAGCATTTTAGGGTTAAAACTCGTATTCATGATCTTATCGGTAAGGAGTTACGATGTTTATGTCGTAATCTACAAAAAGAGAGAGCTTTTTGGACATCCTCTTAACTAGGGTTGCTACAGAATAGCACAGACTTTCCCGGATTAGTTTTCTATTTCCTTTGGTCTGGGCTAACTATTCTGACTTGTCAAATACTCTTGCTAGCTGCCATCTCTGCCCACGAAGTATATTTTTTAAAATGTTTTTGGTATCTAATAGTAGACCGGAAATTTTATTTTAAAAATCTTAAAGGAGACTGAAATCTCATCATAAATGCCAATGTTTATTGAAAAATTAGGAGACGTTTTTAAGAAAATGGTGTTTAAGCGCTACTGTGAATTCGAAATTTGAAGCTCTTTTCCAAAAAAATGTTTGAGTTTTCGAAAAACCTTACTTGAAGCTATTTGAAGTACTTTAAATCAGAAATGCAATAGAGTTTACAAATTTCTGGAACTGTGCATATTAATGGCGTAAGAGATATTTTAAAAATTACATTTGTACAATATTTTTAAAAACAAAAAATACCCTGAAATAAATTTTCTTCATATTAAACGTTATATAACATTAATACAATCAAGTTTGAAATAGTTATGTGTGTGTGAGTGCTCCTGACATTTCTACTGACAAATTATTATTGTGAATTGTTATTGAAAATATTTATGAACACGTTTTAAAAGAAGTTTCATTCATTAATGTACAGTTTTCAGAAAGTTCATTTCACAGTTTAAACTCATGATTTTTGAACAATGTGAAACTATTAGGAAGGGTTGACCATTCTTTAAAATTCTGTTTATGAACGAGGATGAAAAAAGATAATGACATTACTACAACAGAAGGATCTGGCCTCGCCAATAACGTATATGAAAGTGAAGATTAATTATCCAATAGACTGAAAATATAAACTATTTAATGACGGAGCAAAGGCCTCATTAATTAAACAAAATTGTACCACTTAATTGGGATACCAGCTCAGCAGATCGCAGAACCTAAAGTGTTACGCTGGCTTTTTCAAGATTATTATTTGTTAAAACATTACGAAAAAAGCAATATCAATTTTTGTCTCATAATATTTCAGTATTAATCCGTGGATTGTGTATATTAGTGACACAGTTGCTTTATCTGACAATCTTATCGTCGAATTAACAATGATTATTGTAGAGTAAAAACATCTAGTTCGTAACATTACAAACTAAAAATTTCGCTTTTTCTTGCGCACGATTACATTACATTTTCTTCTCGCGAAGTATTCGTTAGGCGAGAAAGTAAAAACGTAATTTACGTGGTTAACACTAAATCCTCAGCAATTAAGTTTTCATTTTTCCTATGTACTGCAAATTCTACCGTCAAATGGTTCAGCTACGAGTTATTTAACTAAGTTATGTAAACAATTGCAGGGCAAACATATTTGACAAGTGTTGACTTCATATTGATCCTTATCATTCTGTAATATAGTATTATTTTTCTTCTACAATAGGAATCTCATTGGATTCATTTACGTTTCTTAGAAAACTCAACGACGGTTTCAAAATTTCTCAAAAATGGCCACAATTTTTTTCTTAAATTTTATTCTTGAATAGAACAAAGTTCGTATATAAAAATGGCACAGGCCCGGTTTTCGTTGAAATCTCTGAATGTTCGACTCACATAAAATGACGCTTATCGTCGTTCATTCTAATTACATAGTTGACTTTTATTTCCATTATAAAAATTCAAGGACTCTCAATAGTCTCCATCGTAAACATTCCACACGAAAACTTCTCTGAATGGAAGATGGTAATTATGTGATAAAGTTACCTAGAGTGCTACAAATAAGTCACATGAGCATCTGGAACTTGAAACCTATTTTAGGATGTGAAACTTTAAGATTTCACCATTAGAATTTAAACAAGTTTGAAGTATATACAAACAATTATTTTGTTTTCATCTATACACGACTGTATAAATTGGAAGTTGGTATATTCGGGATCGACGAACTTCGACACCATTTGACTGATCTCCCTGAAAGTTGGCATATATACGTTTTTTCCATGGAGAAGGTTTTTATGCTGTTTACAAAGTTGTAACTCTTCATTAGATGGCGCAACAGTTAAATGCAATTTCCAATCCAACTGGGCTGCGTTGTTGCTGTGTGTCGCGAGGCGGGGTGGAGAGGGCAGGACGAGTAGGCGGGGCGGGATGTGGACGGGGCGGAACTCGCTCGTCTCAGCGAGGAGACGACTAGAGACGATTTGGGCCCCAGAACACCTGGTTGTAACAGCGCTGACGGGACGAGTAGTCCTCAGAGGGTATTAATTCCGCTACATTTCTACAATTGAGATGACATGACGGTTTACTTTGATAGTGAAATCTAAATAACTTCATTGAATAAAGAAATAATCTTAGGTTGAAAGAGAGAAGATGTAACGATAATAATTACAATCATTAAACCATTTTCCAATCACACATTTCATACATTCATGACAAATGAAGCAAAAGGCACCATTTACAAGTATCGACACAAAACGACTGAACATTTATTACTAACCCTTCATTAATATACTTCACTTTATACTTGAAGAAATAGTTCATCACAGTTTCAACGTCAGTTAGTGTCCGAATAATAACTAATTAGGACAATACCCACCGTTGACCAAACTTCAACATATCCAATCCTTCTGGGGGAAAATATCAATTTTATATAAATCATGGTGTTCAGTATTATTATTTGTATGTCATTGTTTCGTATTTTAAACTATTAGATTGCCATTAGACTAAAATTGTTTATTTTACGCACTGCTACTGGCCACAACCGAATATATTACAAAGGTACAATTTCTGTTGAACTGCTACGAGCTTCTGGTGGAATTTATTAGGAACCAATCTGCTCTTGGCAACAGGTAAAAAATAATTTTTGCGGTA